TGCAATAATCGAATGGTTGTAATTAAAATCCCAATATATACAGATATACAAACATGCACAATTTCAAAAACTTATTACTAAGTTTCAAACATGCAAACATACGTTGTTTTGCCACGAAACGTTTATAATAAAACGACGCAATATGTTGTACATCAGTGGCTACAGGAAAAGTTAATTAAAAAAATCTGTGTGATGCGCACTTTATCGTGGTAGCTGAAAGAGTGGTAGCTCTGAAAATATTTGCGCTCCTATAAAAGGACAATGCAGGCTGTTGGGTGACACGATCAAAGCAAATTAAAAAAAAAACGACAAAGTGTACGACAATTTCGATGTAAGAATTTTTTTTTTTAATTTTCGATTGCAAAGAAGAGATATTTCTTTAACGAATACAAATATTTTCTTTAAAGATTATAACGACAAACGATGTATCTCCCCTACAACGGCACACCCCATACAATGTTTTTCAAAGTTTCTTTACAGTCCATGAAATAATACGCAAAATTCGGTTGCGCCTGACAGGCTTCTTTCAACTGGAGACACATTTTGTAACTGCGTCTGACGTCTTCCAAACACAATGCTTTGAACAGCAAATTTTTGAGCTTGGCCAGGTCCTCGATGATGCGTTTCGGGTATGTGTTGTAAGGTTGCAAGCATTTCAGCGGGGCTACCACGACGTATCCGGCGAGCGCGCAGTCGATCAAGTCCATCAGCTGTTCGTTGAACCAGAACATGCGATTCTCAGTCATCGATTGGATTGTCGGAAACCAAATGGGAATGTGGCGCATTCCAAAGGCGATGTTCAACAGAGCGTTCAACTCGTCTTCCGCTTTTCCAAAAACGAATTCGTATTCGGGAAACTCCTCTCTCCCTTCTAGCAACAACCGAACGCATCTCGCCATGTCGAAGGTGGTGTGCGCCTGCCTCAGACCGTCCTCTATGACGTTCGCCAAACCTTTGGGGCTGTCGTGTTTGCTTTGCCCGGCCCATTTCCAATTCCGATCTATCACGATGAATTCGAACAGCCTGGTGATCTTTTCACGTAAGTCCTCCTCGCTTATTTCTTTCCTCTGGGCAATTTTGCTCTTGAACAGGTTTGCGTAATAGTTCCGGTTGGAAACCGTAGTCGAGACTTGATCGTGCATCTGGTACTTCATACTTCTTCTTATTTAATTTTTTTTTTGTATTTGTTTTCAACTATCACAAGTCGGAATATACGATTATCTTTTATACTACAATTGAGCCAAAGTACCCATTTCGTCATGGGGTTTGTGGGCGCACGCATTCGCATCCGCCAACTTCATCGTGACCGCAGCTCCCCAACAGTGAATCGAGACCGCCGGCGTGATGACGTCATCGTGTCACCTCTTTGGATTGGCCGAGACTCCGCGACGTCATCGTGTAACCCTCATTCGAGCCGTCGATCCTCGCTATATAAACCGGTGCCGGCGTCCCGAGGTTCACAACCAGAAATGGAGGACGGCGAGACTAGAACAGCTATTGACTACATTGATTTCTTCAATGCTCTGGAGGAGATAAGCTCCGAGCTGATGTCGGGAGACCAAGTCATGAGGGCGGCGATGAAGACATTGGACGATCCCAACTCGCCCATGTACAGGGTGGAAAGTCCAACCGTTTTTTCGAAGGCGCCTGATGTGGAACAACCTGCGTCGATGGAAACTGCTGTAGAACCGGTAGTGGAACTTGCATCGATGGAAATTGCTGCGGAACTGGAACCAGTTGTGGAACCGGCCGTAGAACCGGTTGTGGAACCTGCATCGATGGAATCGGCTGAGCAACCTGCATCGATGGAAGCTGATGCGGAACCGGCTGCGGGACCGGCAGCGATGGAAACTGCTGCAGAACCAAATGCAATAATCGACGTGAAGGGGAGTCTAAACAAACTTATAGACCTTTGCGGAGAAAACCTGCCTTATTCCCAGGCCTTCGGGAAGATGCTAGAATTCCTGACGAGAAGGAAAGCGAGGCCCTACGAGATGCCGACACTTCTCTTTTGCCGAGACGAGATGAGCGGATCGCCGTACGTCGTGGTGTCCACGGTTCTGGAAGCGCTGAAACTGAACAACGCTTTCGTCGAAAACAGCTTGATGCGGACGTTCGGCCAAAGGAACAAGATGAAACGAATGGAGGAGACGGGGAAGCAGGACGCAGAAATCGGCGTGAAATCGCAAAACAGACATTTCATGGCGGACTTCGTGGGTGCCGAACCCAGAGATCTTCCGACGCCCATAGTGACATACAATAACCAGGAGAACGGACAGATCAGGTTGCGCTTTCTCGGTGGTGAAGCTCTGCGACAAGTTTGACGTCGAGGAGGAGGAAGACGACGCGACGACGGAGGAAATGAGACGAGCGCTTTCGGCCATGCCCTTCTGCTCGGAAGACGGACGGTGCGCATTCATACCGAAGAACGACAGGAAAAGAGCTTTCACCTGCGAGTCCGACGTCCTGACCCAATTCCCGGCCGTCTGCCGCCTCCGAGGAGCCCTCGCCGAACCGACGCACGACGAACGACCGAGGACCGAGGTCGTCGGGAGCATCAAACCGACAGACGAGAGCCTCGCCAAGAAATTCGGCCAGTGCCTATTCGGCCGATTCTTGTCGAGGGCCGTCGCATCGTCCCCTAGAGACGGCAAGTGGAGACGCGTCCTGAAGGTGATGGACGTTTCGGCTGCCGTCGCGTCGACGCGAACCAAGATCGGCGAAGCGAGAGAACTGCAGACGATTAACGCTTCCGATCGCATCGTCCAGGACCTCTTGAAGCAGTTAGCGGACGCGCGGGAAGAACTGAAAAGGGCCAAGGACGACCTCGCTCGTCTCCAGGGCGAGTTTAACGACGAACTTCAAGAAAGAGAGAATGGCGTGGACGAAGGAGCAGGGCGAGTTTAGAAAAATGATGAAAGACATGCAGGTGACGATGTGCACTCTGCTTAAGCGAGCGAGAGACGATGACGAACAAAGTACAAATGGGAAGAAGAGAAAAGAAGGAGACGATCAGAAAAATAACGAAGAGGACGACGATGATGATGAAGAGGATGAAACATGGAAGGCGGGGAAAAGAAAGAAGCGAGGCGAATCCAAAAATAAAAAGAAGCGTTCCAACAAAGAAAATAATGTAACCAAACCGGTTAGAATTTAATATCGAGAAATTATTACTTTGTGTTTGTTGAATAAAAAATATGCATATAATTCTGAAAATGTCGTCCAATGTAATTTTATCGAGTGTAGTTGTTGTTCGAGCGTGATGTTTGAAGTTGTGCGAGTGTAGAGTGTGTGTCGTGCTTCGAGTTTGTCGACCTGACAATTACAGACTGTTGGTGTCGTCTACCTGACAATTCCAGACGGTGATTGTCTAGCTTCCAGTTCTTCGACGTTTCAAGTCTAGACGGCCGGATACCAAACATTGTTATATCTTCAGTCACAAAAAACAAGTTTAAAAAATTTAAAGAAAACACACACAAGACCAATATTTTCACATTTTGTTTTAGCCTTCTCTTTATTCAAACTAGAAAATCACTAATTATTTTGTAATTTAAAAAAACGCTGACAAGAGAGATTTTTCCGTATCTTCTTCTATATGTGTGCTGTCTCTTATACACATCTAGATGTGTATAAGAGACAGATACTTGACAGTGTGTGCGTTGTCCCCGCCGTCCCCGCAGGTCGGGCACGTGTACTTCCTCAGGATCGGACATACCACCTTCCCGTCAACACCCTTGAGGACGTGGCTCACGTACACGCTCTCCATCTCGCCGTTGTTCTTGCAGAACACGCACCAGATAGGCGTGAAGCGTTGACGCGCCTTCTTGTTCCTGCCGGACGGCTGTTTCCCGACCGCATCCGACGCCATATCATTGCATACCTGAACAAAGAAACAAAACTGAATAAATAACCCACTGGAAAAACTACTGTCTCTTATACACATCTAGATGTGAGAAAATTAAATATCTAAATGTTACCTCGAGGTCGATCCAACCGTCGAACAGAACGGGGCGGATTTCGCAATCCACGCCGTTCCTCCGGAAATCGAACCGCACCGGATCCGAGACGGGTTCCCAATCGGCGGGTTTCCAAGGCTCGAGCATCGACATGACCAGCGCGTTCAATCCCAAGTAATCCTTCATGGGCAAAAAATCACGATCTTCCAAATTCATCGTGAACGCCTCTGCAGTTTCCTCCACGAATGGCTCCTCCGGTATGTGTGTCGGACGAGCTTGTTGGGGTGCTATCGCAAACATAGTCTACCGACCTTTCGAAGCCAGGCACGTGCAGTCTGGTTTCGCTAAGGTTCGAAGGTCGGAATCGGTGTCAACTTACAGCCCAGATTTTACAATTTTTTTTAAAGTACAGAATTGTCGAAATTTTTTTTTTAAGTCCAGAAAAGTCGAAAATTTGTCTAAGTCCAGAATTTTCGAAAATTTGTCTAAGTCCAGAATTGTCGAAAATTTGTCTAAGTCCAGAATTGTCGAAAATTTTTCTAAGTCCAGAAATGTTGAAATTTTTCAAAGTCCAGGAATCTCTAGCTTTAAAAAAAATATGTTTGCTGTTATCGGTTAAGCGATCGGAGACCGACGAACGGAGTCCGATCGCCGTAGCAGGGTCACCACGAGCAGGTTAACAGCATTGACCCCACCCCCACACCCAACCACTGCCTTAGGATGGACCGAGAAGGACGACTTCCTCGCACGGATGTGAACGCCGGTTCGAAAGTCCCGACGACGAAACTTGTGCACTGAATCATCATCGAGACTTTCGGATCGGCGTTCGCACCCGACCGAAAAGGCCGAACCTACCCGTGCGGATGGGACCGGCGAACCGTCCGCACGAAGAACGAGACCTGCACACTGAATCGTTCGTCGTACGGGCTTTTCGGCGGTCCAATCCGCAAGGAAGCAGCGGCATACCCCCATTCTCGCGCAAAAGAACGAGGGGACCCTGTCCGATATATGCCCAAGCTCTCGCGCAAAAGAACGAGGGGACCCTGTCCGATATATGCCCAAGCTCTCACGCAAAAAGAGCGAGGGGACCCTGTCCAATATTTGCCCAAGCTCTCACGCAAGAGAGCGAGGGGACCCTGTCCGATATATGCCCAAGCTCTCACGCAAAAAGAGCGAGGGGACCCTGTCCGAGTAATTGCCCACAAGTTCTCGCGTAAAACTGCGAGCGGGATCCAGAATGATGGGACGATGGAGACCCGACCGAATCCGCACCCACCCTTTCGTTGCCTATTCGTGATGGGCCAAGATTTCGTCTCTCCAGGAGAGATTAATCTACTTGTTGCGGATTCAAAGGTTCGTCGCTACCTCAGTGAACTACTTGCCGTAAGCTTTCCTTGACAAAAAATACTTGCCGTCAGCTTTCCTTGACACTAGGAGCGGGAAGAAAAAGGACCGTTTGAGACCCTCCCGACCCCGTGCCCAAGCTCTCGCGCAAAAGAGCGAGGGGACCCTGTCCGAGTAATATGCCCAAGCTCTCACGCAAAAGAGCGAGGGGACCCTGTCCGATTTTTGCCCAAGCTCTCACGCAAAAGAACGAGGGGACCCTGTCCGAGTAATTGCCCAAAGTTCTCACGCAAAAGAGCGAGGGGACCCTGTCCGATATATGCCCAAGCTCTCACGCAAAAAGAGCGAAGGGACCATGTCCGAGTAATTGCCCAAAGTTCTCGCGTAAAACTGTGAGCGGGATCCAGAATGATGGGACGATGGAGACCCGACCGAATCCGCACCCACCCTTTCGTTGCCTAATCGTGATGGGCCAAGATTTCGTCTCTCCAGGAGAGATTAATCTACTTGTTGCGGATTCAAAGGTTCGTCGCTACCTCAGTGAACTACTTGCTGTAAGCTTTCCTTGACAAAAAATACTCGCCGTCGGCTTTCCTTGACACTAGGAGCGGAAAGAAAAAGGACCGTTTGAGACCCTCCCGACCCCGTGCCCAAGCTCTCACGCAAAAGAGCGAGGGGACCCTGTCCGAGTAATATGCCCAAGCTCTCACGCAAAAGAGCGAGGGGACCCTGTCCGATATATGCCCAAGCTCTTACGCAAAAGAGCGAGGGGACCCTGTCCGATATATGCCCAAGCTCTCACGCAAAAAGAGCCAGGGGACCCTGTCCGAGTAATTGCCAAAAAATTCTCGCGTAAAACTGCGAGCGGGATCCAGAATGATGGGACGATGGAGACCCGACCGAATCCGCACCCACCCTTTCGTTGCCTAATCGTGATGGGCCAAGATTTCGTCTCTCCAGGAGAGATTAATCTACTTGTTGCGGATACAAAGGTTCGTCGCTACCTCAGTGAACTACTTGCTGTAAGCTTTCCTTGACAAAAAATACTCGCCGTCAGCTTTCCTTGACACTAGGAGCGGAAAGAAAAAGGACCGTTTGAGACCCTCCCGACCCCGTGCCCAAGCTCTCACGCAAAAGAGCGAGGGGACCCTGTCCGATATATGCCCAAGCTCTTACGCAAAAGAGCGAGGGGACCCTGTCCGATATATGCCCAAGCTCTCACGCAAAAAGAGCGAAGGGACCCTGTCCGAGTAATTGCCCAAAGTTCTCGCGTAAAACTTCGAGCGGGATCCAGAATGATGGGACGATGGAGACCCGACCGAATCCGCACCCACCCTTTCGTTGCCTAATCGTGATGGGCCAAGATTTCGTCTCTCCAGGAGAGATTAATCTACTTGTTGCGGATTCTGGAGCCCGCCGGAACGCCGGGCGGGAGACCACGCATTGTCATCGACTGTCTATGCAAACTCCAACGGCCGGTTAGGTTAACTCGTAGCTGAGGGTGACCATTGCGAGTTGAACATGTGCAAGTACAGTTCAATTTTGAAATTGAGTTGCAAAATATAAATTTCGCCATCGAAGAACGTGGCCCCCGCACTCGGCTCCCAAACGGGTCCACTGGACTTCGCGCCGATACGTCCGGACGAATAGGCGCGATTTTGTTGGCTCGTCCTTTAGGAAGGGAGAATAGCTTCCTCCGACACGACCTAGGCCGCATTCTGGAACAAGCGCCAGAGTAGCTTTCCTACGTTCCGCTGGAAGAGCGGGTGAAGGACCCGCGGATTCCCAATTGGGACTTTCCCTCGCGATGTTACCCCCGATCCCGCGCTAGAGATCGCGGGGACCCTGTCCGATGCACACGAATTGTGCGACTTGCATGTACCTGCGAAGAAATAAAATAAAATAAACCCAATTGGACGATAAGGGGTGACTCCCGAATAGAGAGCCGGAGGAGGCCTTCCCAAAAAAAATTCCCAATATTTGGACAACCCGCCCCAGCGCCAACCCGTTAGAGCCGGCAAGCACCCCAGGAGTTAAAGCCTCGATGACCCAATAGCAACGGGGGGGAAGCAACGAGGGGTTTTGGTTCGCCGCTTTTCCTTTGCCGTCGAGAGCCGGAATGACCCACCAAAATAAATTAAATCCCCATAAAAAATAAATAAATAAATAAAATAAAATAAATCCAATTGGACGTTAAGGGCAGACTCCCGAAGAGAGAGCCGGAGGAGGCCTTCCCAAAAAAAATTCCCAATATTTGGACAACCCGCCCCAGCGCCAACCCGTTAGAGCCGGCAAGCACCCCAGGAGTTAAAGCCTCGATGACCCAATAGCAACGGCGGGGAAGCAACGAGGGGTTTTGGTTCGCCGCTTTTCCTTTGCCGTCGAGAGCCGGAATGACCCACCAAAATAAATTAAATCCCCATAAAATAAATAAATAAATAAAATAAAATAAAATAAACCCAATTGGACGTTAAGGGAAGACTCCCGAAGAGAGAGCCGGAGGAGGCCTTCCCAAAAAAAAATTCCCAATATTTGGACAACCCGCCCCAGCGCCAATCCGTTAGAGCCGGCAAGCACCCCAGGAGTTAAAGCCTCGATGACCCAATAGCAACGGGGGGGAAGCAACGAGGGGTTTTGGTTCGCCGCTTTTCCTTTGCCGTCGAGAGCCGGAATGACCCACCAAAATAAATTAAATCCCCATAAAAATAAATAAATAAATAAAATAAAATAAACCCAATTGGACGTTAAGGGAAGACTCCCGAAGAGAGAGCCGGAGGAGGCCTTCCCAAAAAAATTCCCAATAATTGGACAACCCGCCCCAGCGCCAACCCGTTAGAGCCGGCAAGCACCCCAGGAGTTAAAGCCTCGATGACCCAATAGCAACGGGGGGGAAGCAACGAGGGGTTTTAGTTCGCCGCTTTTCCTTTGCCGTCGAGAGCCGGAATGACCCACCAAAATAAATTAAATCCCCATAAAAATAAATAAATAAAAATATTTGCCCAAGCTCTCGCGCAAAAGAGCGAGGGGACCCTGTCCGAGTAATTGCCCAAGCTCTCATGCAAAAGAGCTAGGGGACCCTGTCCGAACAGTCTTCCGTCAGTCCGGCGATTCTCGTCCAACCTGTGAAGATATAATAAAGACAACATAAATTTTGTTCTGTGAAAGAGAGTCGTTATACTTTTCGCGTCGTCGTCTATGTTTTCGCGAATACTTAATTACCTACACCTCGAATTAGGGAACCCTCGCCGCAAATACTTACAGTCTACACTTACCTTAAACCCTAACTTTTGCTAGTTACGCTTATACTAAACTTAAAAACTACTCTTACCTTAACTACCATTCCTTACGTTCGTGCACGGAGGAATGGTCGAAGTCCAGTCGGTCAGCGAACGACTGACAGCTTACACTCTGACTGCTCGTCGAGGCCTCTAGGATCTGCACGACGCACCGTTCTCTCCCAACAGCAACTTCCTCCGTGACCGTCCTCCGTGAAACTTGCGTAAGTAATGAACGATTTTCTAACACCGACTCCCATTTATAGATTTCGGTGCATCGTGCTACACTAACTCGGGACTTCGATTGGACAGACAAATCATGCCATCCAAACTCTCGATGCCGATTGGCCAACATCTTGGCTCCAAAAGTCCAGCTTTTCGAAAAATTTTAAAAAGTCCAGAAATCTCGAAAAATTTTCTAGGTCCAGAAAAGTCTAAATTTTTTTCTAAGTCCAGATCTTCGAAAACCGTTCGGGTCGCATTGCCAACGAGAACATGTGTCGTACGTCGTTCTTTCATTCGTTCGCAGTCTCGGTCGATCGATTTCTTTGCCGTCGTAGTCGGTCTCCGTCCGTGGTCGTTGTCGACGTGTACAACTGACTGAAGGTCTGTACCACGGCTCATTTATTTGAATGCAAGTATGTCATATGTCATTTATCAAAATAAAATAGAAAAAGAGAT